AATTGCACTGCACACTCATCGGAGAGTCGTGTCACAATATGTGATTTTTTTCTTAGTTTTAATTTTTTTTTAGGATTGTGATTCGACTAGTAGAGGAGTTTGTTGTAAAGGAGACAAGCTCCTTCACATTCCCGCAAGTCTCTCAGACCTGCCACCTAGTCACATTTTGCATTTTCATATCTTCATTTTGCCCCCCCCCCCCCCCCCCCTTCCCAATCCCCATTTCACACTTGCATAGACATTCGTATTATCATATTTGGATAATATGTTATTGCCCATTTGAGTGTGCTGTACAAATGAGATTTGTAATGCTATGACGCCTGCACTGCACACTCCTCGGAGAGTCGTGTCACAATGCGCATCGAGCGCCAACTGAAGCGCATGATAAGCTGCCCTGCTATACACGCAATTAACACAAAAGTGTAGACTGTATAAAACCAGGGGGCCTCGCGAGGACGATCTTGCATCTCATTCCCGTGAGTCCAGCGCGGAAGGAGCAGCAGCACAGGGACAGCATGAGATGGTAGTGCACTCACATGGAAATAATGTAACCATCATGGTCGCAACGAATTCCCTCTATGGCCATGCAATCCGCATGACGCCATTTTCACATGTCGCTGCCATTTAAAGCGTTCCACTCGCTGGCCAGCAACGAGAGACTCGTGGCAGGGCGGACCACAGATCGGGTGGGGCATGGAAGGGCCAAGGCATGGACGGAGTGAGGCGCGGATGGGATGAGGCGATGACGGGGCGAGGCACAGATGAGACGCAGCAGGCGGATGAACGGCAAGGCACCGAGGCCAAGGCAAGGCCGTAGGAGTGCTGGAGGGTCAGGTGGGTATGCTGGGATGATACGGTAGTGGCACACCCTGCAGTTTTGAGCAACATCAATCTCCTCACAGCCAGGGTCGGTGTGGTACACGTGGCGTACCGTTTTTTGGTATCAATCTCCTCACTGCCTCTGCACCCCACACGGCCGCGAGGCACGCCAGACTGATCAGCAGCAGCACATGATGATGCGGCCCCAACATCCGCCGGTACGACACCTGCTGGGATAAAACACGACAGGCACAACGGGCGCTGATGATGATGATGGTCGTGGATGCGCTGCCATGTAAAATGTATTACACGTTGAAACGAGGAAATACCGGAAACCTGCCCATTTACCGAGCGGCTGATGCCTCCTGCCCTCGCTCCTCCGTCTCTGAGCTCCCTTTGTCTCTGAGCTCTTTCAGGCTCGCACCAGCGAACGCACGCTGGGGCTCGCTTTGTGCCAGCACGCCGGCGGACAGGGTGCGTGCCGCGAGGGGTTCAACCGGCGATAAGGCTTCACAGATTGCTTGGTGCAGCGACCTGCCCGTTTGCGATAGTTACATCGTACCGACATATGGAGGAGCAGGGCATGTCGGCGGGCTCAATAGACCCTAGACCCGGGTCGGTCCGGAGCGGTTAGTGCGAGCAGCGAGCTAGTAAATTACTCGAGAATTTTGCAAAATTCTCAGCCCAAAGCCCGAAAGTAGGGTGAAATAATGGGTGTAATTACATGGGAGGGTGTTCTTTTATCGCTAGTTACTGTAAACCGTTGGCTAACGAGGATGTTTTCGCGGACCAAACTGGCGTGAACCAAACCTACTGAGTGCCCATTCTAGTTTGTTCCGAACAAGCAAATTTAGCGATCGTATTACTCTTTTTGCAATCTCCCGTACTGCCACGATCCAGAAATGTTTAAGGGAAAATATGCCATTATTTGTTCACATGGGAATCGATAATGATTTTGGTATAATAAAAACGCGTACAGTCACTAACACTAGGCAGAAATTCACGCGAATGGTCACACATGTAACTCCCGTCAAAAGGCTATGAAATCTACAATCTTCCCGCGCGTGCCCAACCAATCTGCGAACTTCTAAAAAAACTAAAATTTAATCGGAATCGGATGCGGTTTGGGAACGGATCAACCCTAAACACCTGGCGAGTTACGTGTTTATGGTTGATTCATCCAAAAATGCATCCAGGTTCCTTTTGGGTTTTATATATTTTTTTTGCGGGAGTTTCATCTATGACCATTCTCGTAAAATTTCACCAGTTAATAGTGACTGATTACGTGAAACGTTTTATCAAAGTAGTGAAAAAACCCTTTGAAGTGACTGTAACCGTCATTTTTTTACACAAAAAAATGCTATCGAGACCCTTTTTTATTAAGGGCGCATTCGTGGCCCGTGTCAGACTTCAGGTCAAAAGCCCTTAGTCTCCAATTTGGCTCATCCGAACTCGGATTTGCCTCACAATCGAGCCACTTCGGGTCTTCCGAGCTTCCACTTGGGGTCTGACCTGATGTCTGACACGGGCCACGAATGTTCCCTAAGAATGGCATATTATCCCAAAGTTCAAGGGTGTGCGACCTGCACAACCCGTTCGGAAGAAGTCGTTCGTAGTACGAGGCCTGAAATGCGTCCTACTGCTGTACTTGCCTTTGCCCCACCCACCATCCCATGTGCAACACGTGATTCAAATCTCCCGCAGTGCAAGCTGTTGCTCCTTGTACAGTATCTGCTTCACATCGCAGTCTTGTTGCAATCACTAGTTTCGAGTGGACACATACTTTTATTCTGAGAAATTGCTTTGACGGAACGAGATAATAGGGGGCGTCCCGAAATTACGTACTTTGCAAAATACCCTTCTAGACCACTTTAAACTTTAAATAGACCGCTCTAGGCCGTACCAAGCTCCGAGCCGCATTCGGACGCCGCATTCTCGGGACGCGCCCTAATTGCATTCAATACACAGCGTGTCTTTGGGAAGGTTGCTTGGATTCATGCCGACACACCGGGTAAGCTTGCCATGAAATCCGGACCGCAGCGCTCCATGTTCCCTCCCGTTCGCATGGCTCCTTGCCGCGCATCGGACTTCCAACTGTCTGTGTCGTACGGGGTGACATGCCAGACACACCAGAGCCCTAACGAAACCCTAGACTGCCGCTTACTTTTGACTTTTAAGCCCTAGCGAAAACGCCGATTGTGCATCCCTAAAGCGCATAGATCGTTTCACAGGCGTCGCCTTCCATTCAGGCCTTTCTGTTGTTTCTCTCTCGTCTGTCAAGAGCCTCTGCAGCACTGCTTCACATCGCAGTCTTGTTGCAATCACTAGTTTCGAGTGGACACATACTTTTATTCTGAGAAATTGCTTTGACGGAACGAGATAATAGGGGGCGTCCCGAAATTACGTACTTTGCAAAATACCCCTCTAGACCACTTTAAACTTTAAATAGACCGCTCTAGGCCGTACCAAGCTCCGAGCCGCATTCGGACGCCGCATTCTCGGGACGCGCCCTAATTGCATTCAATACACAGCGTGTCTTTGGGAACGTTGCTTGGATTCATGCCGACACACCGGGTAAGCTTGCCATGAAATCCGGACCGCAGCGCTCCATGTTCCCTCCCGTTCGCATGGCTCCTTGCCGCGCATCGGACTTCCAACTGTCTGTGTCGTACGGGGTGACCTGCCAGACACACCAGAGCCCTAACGAAACCCTAGACTGCCGCTTACTTTTGACTTTTAAGCCCTAGCGAAAACGCCGATTGTGCATCCCTAAAGCGCATAGATCGTTTCACAGGCGTCGCCTTCCATTCAGGCCTTTCTGTTGTTTCTCTCTCGTCTGTCAAGAGCCTCTGCAGCCTCGAATTCGCCCATCTCGTCAGGCATTGACATCCTTTCTCGGCTGTTTTGAAATAGCTCGAGAACTTCATTTGCCTTTCTCTGCGCGTCTTGATATTCTCTTTCGCTTTCCCATCCTCCTTGCTCGCCGTGTAATGCCCGCGGGTTACACTAAGGGTTGTTTGTACCGCATTATCCACTGCACTCTATGACACCCCCGTTTCGACCCAGTGGGTAGGGGGGCGGCGTTACTCTGGAACCAAAATCTAGTGTCTATTCCCGGCTGGGTCACATTGTATGCTCATAACGAGAACTCAAATGTGGTAACCCAGAGTTGAACGCAGTCAACAATCTTCAGCTGGCCTGACCAATCACCGAAGTCCTGTGCTACCCAGCTCCCTGAAGTTATGAACCAACGAGGACAATGGCTTGGTGGGGTGGGGGGGGGGGGGGGGGGGGGAATGGGGAGTGGGGGACGCCGGGTGTAACTTGGACTTGTAACGCAGACACAAAGCCTGCAAGCTTACAAGATAGTTGTAAAGGCATCCGCCTCTATAACAGCCCCGTTTTGACCGTGGATAGCGGGGCGTTTAGATTAGAGTGCTTGAAGGAACTTCCCGTGCATTCATTAGTCGCACCCCAACCCACAACACCTGAAAGGTAGACATGAGCAAAATTCGAACACCTAAGTCCGGGATGAGCAGTTGGTTTTTTTTGCCCAAAATAGTTCGGGACGAACACCTAAGTGTTCGTCCCGAACACGTTCGAGTGTTCGAGTGTTCGCACGCACAAAAACACTCCTTCGAGACCAGCACGTCAAATTTTGAGGGGAGAGGGTCCAGAAGCAGTGGTGAGCAGGCAGCACCAGAGTTGGCGCTGGAGGGAGAGGGGCTCGACGAGGGGGGTGAGGAGGAGGCTGTTGCTGTGGCAGGAGGAGGGGGGGTTGGGGGAGTTGCACGAGGGCTTGGTGGGCTCTCAGGTTTAGTTTTGCATGTCCTTGACTTGACCTTGCCATTGACATGTTGCCCGTTGACTTATTTATCCATCTTTGACTAGACATTGAGTGCGCAGCATTGTTGATCTTTCATTCAATTGTGATATTGCTTGTAGTACACGCGCCCTGAATTTTTTACATGCCCTGAATGTGACTATACTGAAAGTACCCCCCAAGGCAAACCATTCGAGTTCGGGTCAAACACCTTAGTGTTCGGCCTTGCCTCAAAACTGTTCGACCCTTTACTCGAACAGGCAACACTAACATTTAGGAAAACTGTTCGAGTCAAACGTGTTCGGTTCGCTCGTTGCTCATGTCTACTTAAAGGTGCTCCTTTTGTTTGTGCATGCAGTCCTTTTGTCAGTCGCACCGAGGGATGGAGCTGTATCGTCTGCTGGTTCCCGGCCTTGTGTGCCTGGTTGCGCTCAGGGGAGTAGCTTCAGTGCGATTATACCCAGACGAAGGTAGGGCTGGGAACACCATTGTGTTGCTGCCTTGACTAGATCACTAGCTCATTCTGCCACTTCCCCATCTCATCCCACTCTTGCTGAACCACCTCCACCCTCACCTGTTCTCTTCAGTCCCTCGTTTTCCTACTGAGTTTCTCCGTCGCTGGCTTGCCCATCCACGCCTCCTTCCAGTGAGCAGCCTCTTGGAGCTGGCTAGCTGGTGGAACAGCTTCCAGGGCAGCGAGACATGGCAGATGCGTTATGCGGACTGCAGGGCACTGAATGGCATTCTCTGCAACCGAGACGGATTCGTCACTGACATGTGAGGGCTCCACCCTGCTGTCATGTTGCCGCCACATGCGCTCAGTTTTCGAATGCGCATCTCTCATGGGCCTCACCACATGCGGATATTCATTTGTTGAACTTGATTCGGTGTGACCCGAACCACATGCAGTTTGGGTCATACCGCGTCCAGCCTGAGCAGTCCGGGTCTTGAAAAGGTTCGAGTGGGGTCGATTCAAGTTAGGTATGAGTTCCGGTTCAAGTCTTAAGCCGGCCCGACTCAGCTCGTCTCAAGCTGATTCGGGTTCAACCGACGACCATACCTAAACTGCACCCATTAAACTCAGTAAGAGTGAAACTACTTGGTTGTTGTCGTTTCCTGTGGATGATGGCATGGGAGGTTCATGTCATGGCTATTGTGAATTCCGCCTGCTGCCAGTCATGTAATCAAGCCCCTCTCGATTTTTTTTGCAGAGTTTTACAATCGACAAGCTTGTATGCACCAATACCCGACATAATCAGCCGGTTTCAGCACCTCACACGCCTGTGAGTGAGCCCATGCACTACCTCTCTGCACCACCACCCTTTGAGCGGTGGAGTGATGGTGGAGTGGAGCTTATTAGCCAAGTGGATATCATCAACGCAAAGAGAGGTGGTCCACAGTGGATATCATCTGTCTTGTGCTCGCTTCGCACCAAGAGTGTGCCAATCTCTCTCTCAAGCAGTCCATGGTATCAATACTTAATGCAACGTCAATGACAGGCAAGAAGGCGTGCATAGAAGACCCGGTCACTGTGACTCCTATTTTTTCCTCAATTTTACGCTTTCCATTAGCCCTCTCTTGCCCCGTCCAGTTCACCCACTTTACTCCCCCTTCCCGAATTCTCGCTGCCTCCTCTCTAGGTCACTCCCCTTTTGCCAGCTCATGGGCACCCTTTCTGAATCCCTCTTCAGCCTCACGTCGCTCATCGTTCTGTAAGTGCGCATCTCACTATTGTTTTGTGCGCATCAGCCGTGATTCCTCTTCGCCTCGCATTTGAATTCTGCATGCTATCTGCCGACTCTTCCATTCACCCTGTGCCTGTCACCTGTGCTGCAGCGACTTGACAGGGAATCAAATCACAGGGACTGTTCCAGCAGGCTTCAGCCGTCTGACCAACTTGCGATTTGTGTGCGTAACATTTCAGTTAGAGGCAAAGATCTTGCTGTGCAACAGCTTGTGATGGATGGTGGTGGGAGCTTATGTGTGCAATGCAAAGCACAGGTGAAGCATTTGCACAGGATATGGCCACAACAACACAATGTGTGACACGTGGTACTTACATGTTTTCTTTATTTGTTTCTTGGTGATGCTGCTGGTGGACATGCGTGATACCAAGCAAGCATGCTTGTGTGGCCTCTTTCTCATGTATGGCTTCTCCATTTGTCTTCATTGTGTCTCCGTCCTCCCCATTTCCCTGTTTCGGTGCCCTTGGTGTGAATCAGCTCTCAGGTCCCATCGATCCACTCACCAGCTTGTCACAACTCCAGCTACTGTATGCATGCATTTTGCCTGAATCGCCCCAGACAGATTTATGTCATTTTTTTCGTTTCGCCACCCTAGCCAGCAAATTCATTAGACCGTCGGGGCAGTGGGTCAGACTCCGCAAACCATGCGCGCGGTACCCACTGACTTTAGTGAGTGAGGAGAGTGGCAAAGTTCTCGGCTTAGCATTTATGGTGCCTGGCACCTTGCAACCTCTCACTTGGAGCAAGCAACAGGCCAAATAACAGTTTTGGCTCAATCAACAACATCATCATGGGAAGAAAACAGCCTTTGCTGGTCTTTCAAATGCCTTGGGTGGACCAAGCCTTGCAGTAGGCTTTGTTGACTTGTTCGCAGTGGTGGTAGTGGTGATACCAGATGTTCTTCTTTGCTGCACGAGGGATGGTCATTGAGGTGCAAACAAAGTGTACCTCATACTTGTCGTAGTTATTGAGGACCTTAATTTGAGCCTGCTTGCTGAAGTCTGTTCGAGGGTACATTTTGCAATGAAGTGGGAGGAACGGTCTCAACTGACACTAGTTTCGGTTTCGTTTCCACGATAGCTTTTATATTGTCCTTGTGGCTTCGTAATCAACTTTTCTTGAGCGCCGTTCTTCGTCCTAACCTCCAGAGTGTTGATTCACTGGAGCAGTAATTGCATTTTCCACCCTTTATCCCCCTGTTCTCCCCCATTCCCTTGTCACAACTACCCCTCCCACCTACCTTCCAGTATTGCCCCGATTCTGACCGCCACCTACCAGCGCTGGCAGCATTCCAATGCAAACAATCTCCCCCCACCCCCACACACTACACTCCTCCCACTCCTCCTTCCTATACATCCCTCCAGAGAATATGTGCCTTGCGAAACATGCACAAGAGGGAGTAACTAATGACATAGGCTTGTTGTAACAATCTTCTGAAGGGGTTCTCATGCGTGGTGCCATTCAGAACGTCTACGCATTGAAGGTGATTGGGTGTGCGTGTGCGATGTGCCCCTTGGCCCCCCAGCAATCTGGACCAGAACGTTTTCAACACCTCCATTCCCTCTGACCTTGGCCAACTCACCGCCCTTCGCTTCCTGTGAGGCCCACTACTTAACATCCCGGTATTGCCGTTTTGTTTCCCTGCTGAGTATCAGTGGCACGAATTCACACAGTGGGCTTATATCAGACAGTTAATTGGAATGGGATGTGAGGTTGCAGACCAGTCTGCTGATCCTGATTTCAATATAGGAGCATGCATGGATCGATCGTAATCTCAGACACTTCAATTCAACGTCAAGCCCTAATGCATGGATTTCCCAGTATGTCTCATTTGCCCGTTTGCCCGGGGCGACGCACCGTCGACGTCCACCGAACCATCGACGCCTGCACTTCGGGCAGGAAAAAAGCAATCCCCTCTCGGATGGCATGCCATGGAGGGAGGCACCAGCCCCAAACACCATGCGACAAGGTGTTTAGGGTTGATGACCTTCTCATGAGGTTTTTTTTTTTTGCTCCCAGCAACTGCCTTTCTAGGCAGAGTCGGTTCTCTTTTGAGATATACTATACTATCCAGAAGCTGGATTCACCAGGCAGCAGCTCTGTAGCCAATACCGTGCTTAGCCCACATAAGCAAGGAGCTCTATGGTTGGAGGCACGCACGGAGTGACTCAAATGTCACTCCCTCCTTCGAATGTTACAATGCAATCTGTGGTTGTGGTTGTGGCTGTGGTTGTGGTTGTGGTTGTGGTTGTTGTTGTGGTTGTGGCACATGCATTATGGAGTGGAGACTGTAGCAGGCAATCTGTGGATGTGCTGCGAACTAACCATTCACTGGAAACATCGTATGCACATCACATGTGTGAAGAACACCGTACTGCTGTCATTTCCAAGGAGCTGTGAAAGGTCAATGCCCTCACCACGCATTGCACCACCCTTTCCGCAACTATCAACTACCATGCCATCCACCTTCTCTTGCCAACGCACACTGTTTCCAGAATACTTTCCATACCCTTCCTCGCGTTCTCCTCTCTCTCGACTTCTGGCAGGAACCTTGAGAGGAACTCGTTCTCTGGAAGCATTCCGTCTTCCATGGGCAACATTGCAGACCTGAAGGCTGTGTATGTACCTATCCACACGACCATTATCATGCAGTATCGTTCTCCCAGTGCGTTTTTTCACGATCATGGACTCGTGGGGCATGCTGCGTGTCCCATACAGTTGGTTCAGAGTAAGGCCTGTCTTGCTAGATCAGTTTTTTGTTACTCCAATTTTGTGTGTGTGCTACTTCCAGTTCATTGAACTCTCATGTGCTTCACATGTCGACACTTGAGGCCTTTTTCCTTCGCTGGGGAGTGCAGGGTTTTACGTTTCAACCAGCTGAGTGGATCCATACCCGATTCCTTCAGCTGCCTGCACAACCTCACTATACTGTGAGATCCGCCTCTCCACCTCTGCACCTCTCCACCTCTGCACCTCTCCACCTCTGCACCTCTCCACTCCTGCACCTCTCCACTCCTGCACCTCTGCACCTCTTACTGATGCATTTCAGGATCGTTTGAAAAATCTCTTTGTATTTCGTGGCATTTGGTTCATCACATATGTGATACAGGCCATCACAAGCATTCGTCCCAAAGTGCTTGCTCATTAATCCCGGGCAATGGCAGAGGCCAAGAAGGGTGCTTGCTCACCCGAACACTGCAGCATCGCAACATGGAATTACATCGCTTGCTGCATGCAGCCACCTGCATCTGGGCGTCATTCCACTCACCTTGCCCATCCCCCCCTGTTCGTTATTCCCAAAATGTTGTGTGCAGCAAGCTGGATAAAAACCAGCTGACAGGGTCCATCCCTGATTGGCTTGGAACTCTCTCCGCTCTCAAGTCTCTGTGAGTTTTGTTGCCCCAAGCCAGCTCACACCTGTGCTTCTGCACTCTTAGGTGCCGTGTGCAGACGATGCAAGGTGAGGGATATTCATAGTCCACCCACGTTCACAAGCTGTCCCTTTTTACTATATACTCATATCTTCATGTTCTAGTGGTGTGTGTAGATTGGGTAAGCATCCCAGAGTCTGAAAGTATAGTAACTTTTATGTGTTGGGCTGGGCGTCACATGTAGAGGACGGCAGCTTTGGTGAATTGGGCACCCACCTCACCTCACACAAGTGGTGGCCAATCCCACACAGCTGGCTGCCATCCAAGTTCCAACCAGGCCCACTAAGCCAGTTGGGTTGGTTCACTGTTCGGGTCATTCTAGAATTGGGTTCTGCTTCATCTGGCTCTTCCATGTACGTCCTTGCTGCTCACTTGAGCTGATACATTCTCTTAACCTTTTTCCTATTGGCTTGAGATTGATTTCAGTTACTGGTCACACGTGGAGTGTAGTCCATGGTGTGTGTGTTGTAATGTGCGTGCTGCCTTGGCAGGGTGCTGAATTACAATGCACTGAGCGGTTCAATTCCATCCTCTCTGGCATCGCTGCAGCAACTTGATCTTCTGTAAGCATAAATTCTGCAACATTCCCATCTATGTTTCACATCACACCATTCTCATCCATGTCTTGGGCCGAGCGAGCTCAGGGGTATACATAGAGGTGGAAGGTGAAGTCAACGATGGGTCCACTAGGTTGGGTTGACCAACATTATTCGAGGGTGAGTAAGTGCTGGTTGGGTTGACCAAAATTATTGGTTGTCCAGTCAGTGTTGGTTGAGAAATAACCCCGACCCTAACAATCGTTTAGGACCAAAGAGCCGATTTGGGATTGGGGGCTTCAACGACAAGGGAATGAAACCGAACTCAACATCTAGACCCCACATTCTAGTCTGGAGCACGCTGTAATCTAAAGAACATGAACATGGTTGGGTTGAACACGAACATCTTCGAGGCGAACCAAACAGGTTTTCGCTTTTCTGCTCAAGCCTTAGCTGGATGTTACAAGTTTACCTTTACGTACGTTGTACGTTACATACGTGCACCTGAGATTTGTTTACGTTTCCATGCAGGTTGAACTTTTTTTTCCAGCTGCCCAAACATGTACCCTGCTTGATGCAGGTTCCTGCATTATTACAAAATACCCCTCTCACGTTCTCAGCCGAATCTCCTACATAAAGTGTTAAAATCTCGCCTTTTCATGTAGCTTCTGAAGAATTTTGGCATAGCAAGCTTGTCTGAGCCGAGGCAACAAAAAGCTTGGACAAATGTTTGTTGCCCGTCATTTCCTTCCTGCCCTGAAATGTGTTACGTGTATTGGCGCGTGAGTATGCGTAGCTCACAAATACGTGGGGTTGTAGGAAGTACAAACTCAATTTCGATTCTACATGTCTCACACCATTCTACATGTCTCACACCATTCTCATCTCAGATTTCTTGCTGCCAACCATCTCTCGGGAAGCATACCTGCAGCGCTGGGCGATCTTCTGAGCTTGCAGTACCTGTGAGTCGCCACAGCCCACTGTTGCAAAGTCCATCATG